AGAAGCGGGCGTCAGGAACTTAATTTGTGGCTGGCTGCATGGCTAGAGACTTCAGGTGACTCCAGGTCAGGCATGTCGATCGAGTTGAGGGTGTCCCCCTGACATGGCCGATGCAGCCGAGCATGCCCAGGCCGCGAAGCCACAGTCGGCAGCCCCTGAGGCGGTTTTTTGTTTGTTCTTCGTTCTCTTTGTGCGGTTTTCGCGTGGCCCGTGCTTGTCTTTGCATGTTGGCATCCTTTGCCTGCGGAAGGCAGCGAAGGCAGTGAAGGCAGTGCGAGAATCAATGGAGGCTGGGAGCTTCCAAGTCGCCAGGGCATCGTAGTGGCAACGGAGTCGCCACCCTAAACCCTAAAACCTAAACCTTAAACCCTTAGCCCTAAACCCTAAACCCTAAACCCTAAACCCTAAACCCTAAACCCTAAACTGACGCAGGCCGGTGGCAAGCCTCAGTCGGCGAAGTCCGAGGCCATCCTCAGATTTCATTTTGCCTTTCTCGAGCGTCCGATGCACTCGCACACTCCTGCGCCCCAGAACTTTTCAAATCCCCGAATCCCGAAAGCTACTCCTAAACCCCTAAACCCTTGATTCTGAAACTCCAACTCTAGACCATTCTAAACCCCTCAGCCCTCCATACAGCCCTCAATGGCTTCACCCACCGTCGAAGGCCGACCGTGTCTCCGTGAGCTCTTCAGCGGGGGATGACCTGGCTGCGGAGCTTTGGGCTTGCAAAGCCAGTCTAGGGGTTTAGGGTCCAGGGTTCAGGGCTTAGGGTTTAGGGTTTATGAGTGGGGGGGGGGGCCTCAAGCAGTGTGAAGGGATGGCTGGGGATTAGGAGATGTTTAGAATTCTACCCTGGACCCTCCCCTGCCCCCAAGTTCCCTAGGATTTTGGGGATTCTTCCCCTGTTGTGAGGTTTCTCTTGGGTTTCGTAGGGAAGCTAGTCAGTCCCTTCGCCAAGTCTATCTAAGTCTGTTTGAATCCGTTTCTGTTTCTCTGTTTCGCTCGAAGGAGGTTCTGGCAGCTGCTACAACAAAAGCTGCCCAGCTGCCACGCCAGACCTCTGCATCTCTTCTTGTGTCCTTTGTGTCGGAGGCCAGGGGGTCAATGATGGTCTCGTCCAGTGGAGTGAGCATTGTGAGCTGTGAGGTGGTTTGAAACATGTAGACGTAGCGGGCATTAGCCCTAGCCGCTAGCCGCTAGCCAGCATTACCGGATCATCGTCAATGCAAGAGCAGTGTCTCACAAGATGCTTTTCCTGGGGAATGGTGCACGCGGGTGAGCGATTCTGCGCAGGGGGAAGATGCTGGTGTCGCCCTGCAAGACGTTCCTGCCGACAAGGTCGAATGCCACAGCTGGAGAGGCTAGAAAGCTTGTGATCCCAAATCTGGCGCCACAGGAGCCATCCGAATTGACCAGTGCCAGATCGGTGGGCAGCGAGGACCATGATCCACCGTTGCAGAGCCCTTGTGCTCAGTAGCAACCCAAATTTCAAAGCTCTACTCGACGCTGCTGCCTCGAATCGCAACAAAAACCGAGTGACTCCTGAGGAGCGGCGACACATTCGTGGTGTGAGCGAAGCAGTGGTCCACCGAATGGCGGCCCACCAGCATCAGGGAAGTGCTTCAACGGGATTCGGCGTTGGTTCTTGCAGTGCAGGTGGATGAAGTTCTCCAGACGCCTTCCCTGGATGGTACAGTGCAGGCCTTCTCCTGGAGACTCCGCATGGACATGGGGGGTTTGCGAAAACAAGGGAGGCCCAGAATGGACCCTCAAATAGTAGGATCCAGGAAGATACCCTTATTTTCGGACACCCCCCCCCCCCCACATGCTGTCAATGATCTGTGAAAGGGTTCAAGCAGTGAGGTGGCAAGCGCGACATCCTCAGGAGGGGCGCAGGCCGGACTCTACATTTTGTGCCCGCAACCCCAGAAGTTGTAGATTCCTCTGTTGCTGCTGTATTAGGTGGGGGCCGCCCTAAACCCTCAACCCTCAACCCTAAACCCTAAACCCTAAACCCTAAACCCTAAGCCCTAAGCCCTAAGCCCTAAGCCCTAAGCCCTAAACCCTAAACCCTGACCCCACTTGAGAAAGCCCTGATGAGCAGCAGAGAGCTCGTGCGTGGCGAGGCTGTCGAGAGTGCCGCGACGGGTTCCAGGAGGCTCAGAGCCGCTGTAGACTTTGATCTAATACTATAATAGGAATAGTAGAAATTATATAGTATATTATAATAGGAATAATAGCAATAATAGTAATAATAGTAATAAAAGTAATAATAGTAATAAAAGTAATAATAGTAAAAATAGTAATAATAGTAATAATAGTAATAATAGTAATAATAGTTTTAATAGTACTAATAGTAATAATGGTAATAATAGTAATAAGAGTTATAATGGTATATGCAATATTGTATAGTATACTATAATATTGTATTATACGATTCCATTATTCATTTTTACACGATCCGATTACTACTTTATTATATGAGAATGCAATATTATGATACTGATGCTCCATAATAGCAACCCCTATAGCTCGATGCCCCCAAACCCCATTGAACCCCAAAGGCCCCGAAAGAACCGCCGGAAGTGATTCGGAAGGCCCTCCGGTTTCGGTCTGCCTGAGAGCTTTGAGCCCAGAGGATGGAAAGCAAGAGTTTTTTTGGACGACCCAACAGTTCGCTCGCAAGGTTTATGGGGTTTGGGGTTCGGGGCCTAGATTTTACATGGGTTTGGGGCCTCGTGGGGTTTGTAGGTTGAGGGCTTCGTGCAGCAAATGTTTAATGCTGCTATGAATTGTCGGAGACGCTGTCTGCCCGTAGCCTTTGAGGAGTTTGCAAGCTGCAAGCCCCACATGTTCGCATGCACCGCCAACAGTGCAGCATCAGAGTATCATGGCTTTTGCACCGTGCCGTCGGCAATCCACACAGTGTCTGCAAACCCAGACCCCAGTTCGATACTCCCAAAACTCTCATTGATGCAAGCCACCCTCTGCTCCAAAACCCTACATCCTCAACTTTAGGCCCCTCACTTTGGCCAAGGCATTGGCTCGGTGGGGTCGGAGGAGGCGGCGCTTGCCTAAGCACCATGTTGCGTGATTGTTAATGCTAAGCCCCAAACCTGCAGTTACAGTCGTCAGTTCTCCCCGCGCCTGATAAGCTCCTCCCAAGCCCTGGCCATTGAACCCCAAATCCCTAAGCCCCTAAGCCCGAAGCCCCTAAGCCCCGAAGCCCGAAGCCCCCAGTCCCAAGGCAAGGATCGGGGCAGCTGCGGCTGCTGGGCTTCTGGGGGAGGCAGGGAATGACTTGGGGGCGGGAGTTAGGGTTTCTGTTATGTAATGCATCTCAGGGTCAAAAGTTGGCAATCCAATCCTTACCCGCCCCAAAACAACAAAAGAGGAAGAACGAAAAAAGTGAAAGAGAGGATCCCCCCCCCAAAGAACAGGATCCGCATGTTAAGGGTCGGGGTACAAAGAAGCCATAGACAACACCTGTCAAAGACCATTGTGGGGTTGTTGCAAGTCAAGGCCTGGGTTTGCGGGTTTAGACTTCTGAATTCCATTCTCCTTCACAACTCTCGTTGGTCGTTGTGCGATGGCAAGCTTCGTCCACTTGTCCCTAGCACCCGAAAGCCAAAAAGCCTCAACACGGCCTCAAACACTTTTGAACCCCTTGTTCTGAATCAGGATCCCAGGGTCCCCCTATGGGTAAGTTTCACAAGACCCCACTAGCAAAACCCGATTACTGAGCCAAAGCTCTAAGCGACAGAATGCTTCGTCAAGGCCCTAAATCCTTTAAGCCCGAACCCAAGACGATGTCCAGGTAACCGACTTCGCCCCCTCTGGGCCTGCCTCCGTGAGAACCGCAGCGAGCTGGGAGGCGGGAAGTGCACCTGGCTTCTTCGGGTTTCGCCCTAAGCCCTCAGCCCGCAAGCGCTGCACCCTGTCACAACGCCTTGTCGTGCAGGAACGCATCACCACGGAAGTTGCCGGAGATCTTTTGCCAGACACGCCCGGGCACCTGTGTCAGTATGATTTAATGGAAGCGTGCGGGTTGCTCGCAGCAGCCTTCTGGCAGTTCAGGAAGCAAAGGGAAAAAAGAAGCAACAGTAAGCGAATAAACAGCATAAATCTGCAGATATGATGTATAATGAAAACACAACAGAATATCAAGTAACTTAATCTACTATAATGCAGCATAATTCAGCATAATTCAGCATAATTCAGTATAATTCAGTATAATTCAGTATAATTCAGTATAGTTCAGTATAATACACACTGTACAAAGGAAGCGAACTCCCGCTCTGGAGCTCAGGCACGATCAAGGGAAGCTCGCGGAGCGGCAGTCTCAGGTCCCGAAGATGCTGGGCTGGGCGATGGCCCAAAGCAGCAGCCCCAAACCCGAATATCCCTAGACCCTGAACCCTAAACCCTAAACCCTAAACCCTAAACCCTAAACCCTAAACCCTAAACCCTGAACCCTGAACCCTAAACCCTAAACCCTAAACGCTAAACCCTAAACCCTAAACCCTAAACCCTAAACCGAAAACCCCAAACCCTAAACCCCATAATGTCCACCAGAAAGCATGGCATGGCAGGGGGAAGGAGTCTGCAGGGGAAGTACAAACTCTCTGCACGTGAGCAGTTCTGGCTCAGACGTTTGGTGTTTGAGCGCGCTTTGGTTGCTTGTCTTTTTGGAGCCGGTGCCATTTGTCGGCGTCTTAGCTGTGCCCCTGGCTCTTAGGGTCTAGGGTTTAGGGTTTAGGGGTTAGGGTTTAGGGTTTAGGGTTTAGGGTTAGGGTTGATCTTGGAGAGCAGTACTTGTTGGAATGGGGGACATCGCGGCGACTGCCAGACGTAGGTCTGACAAGAGCAAGGGTGTAATCCTAGTGTAAAGAAGGTCCAGGCGAGGACGAGCAGCAATTTTCGTTGAGCGTCTGCAGTGAGGAATACGGCTGGCAGGTCAAAGCCCTCGTGCGCATGTGTGTTCCGTGTTCAGGAAGACCATGGTTCCCTCCACCGACATCCTGGAGCACCTTGGCCGACATCATGACATGTGATAGCAATCCTCTGCCTGCCATGGAGAGCGGACATCAGAAGCCGTCGTGGTCCACGGAAACGCCTGTAGCCTGAGAGCGAGGTTTCGTTTCGAGAGTCCGCCGTTCGCGCCCTTTCCCAGGCAGCAGCCAACGACCAGTCGCATCTCAGCCGATGTGGAGGCGCGACTTCACGGAGTCCCCCAAACACCCCTCCAGCCATGAGCTCAATGTCTAGGGTTTCGGGCTTCAGGATCGGTATGGATCAGTTTTAGAGGCTGCCCGAAACGGCTTACCCTGACCCCCAACAAGCCCTAAACTTGACCTCCGAAACCCCCAAAACTCGGGACGGGGGTGCTTTGAAAGGCAGCCAAGCACCAGTTCGAGCGCTGCGAAAGCTCGGCCAGCACGGAAGTGACGTCAGAGAGGCCCGGAGGTGTTTTGCACCCAGAATTGAATTGTTTAGGGTTGAGGGTTTTTCTGGGTACCACCCTAAACCCCTAAACCCCTAAACCCCATAAACCCCTAAACCCCTAAACCCCTAAACCCCTAAACCCCTAAACCCCTCAACCCCTAAACCCTAAACCCCTAAACCCCTCAACCCCTAAACCCCGAAACCCCTAAACCCCTCAACCCCTAAACCCCTAAACCCCTAAACCCCTAAACCCCTCAACCCCTAAACCCCTAAACCCCTAAACCCCTAAACCCCTAAACCCTCAATCCGAGACCTCCTTGGGTGGCCTCGGAGCTCTGCAGGTTCCCGCGCTTCAGCTCTGACAGCTCCTGCGAGCCGGAGGAGCCAGAGGCCGGGCCTGGGGTTCTCAGAGACCGCAGTTGTGGGCACAAGAATAGGGTTTAGGGTTTCGGGTTTAGGGTTTAGGGTTTAGGGGTTTAGGGGTTTAGGGTTTAGGGTTTAGGGTTTAGGGTTTAGGGTTTAGGGTTTAGGGTTTAGGGTTTAGGGTTTAGGCACGCCACTCCTTGCCACTGGCACAGTGGCGCGGTACGAGCTGTTGGCCTTGTGGTCCAAGAGAAGTGGTGGAAACGACCGGCAGAAGTCCAGACAGGGCCCGTTGAGGGGGCCTGCGCGTCACCAGTTTGTGGCAGGGGCAGCCAGGCCCAATGCTGCCCTGGTTTGTGCGGCTGGTAGTGCTAGGTTCGAGGAGAATGTTCGGAGAATGTTCGGAGGACGCTCACAACGTAGATGAATGCTGGTTGAGATCCGGGCATCGCCCGCTCCTTCTGCAAGATGGCTCGGGTTGCAAGCCTTCGGGCCATGCCCGCGTATCGATGAGGCAAGCCCATGAAGGCGCACACCCAAGAGAGGCCGTGCTGCCCAGGCAGTGTTTCATACTGAGTATGCTGCGATGCTGTGATTGGGGCTAACGGGCGGAAATTGCCCTAGGTTGGAACTCTTTGCCTTTGTAGACAACTCTCGTTTGCAAGCACATGTGGTCAGAGAGTGGACATTAGCAAGATGGGGGCATCATCCACTCGCTGATGCCAGAAGCGCCTGCCATGTTTCAACGGGGAGATTGCATGCCTCTGTGGCCATATGGAGCAAGCTTGTCTGCATGCTCTGCGTTACTTTGACGAGTGGAGGGGGATTTGGGTGCGCCGCTTGCCGCCTTTCGTGCGAGCATCAGTGCGCAGTCTCTCAGACGTTGCGTTCTTGCAATTGTGCTGATTATTCCTGTTATTCATGCCGCCCAGAATCACTTCTGGCGATGGTTTTCACACGCATTGCAATGTATGTCGCACATAACGCTCCCTGCTTTTGAGTCTTTGGTCTTTCGCGTTGGGTGTCTATCCCAATAGTCTGGCACTCTGTTTCACCTGTATATATTCTACATCCATATACTTTTTGTTAAATGAAGACCGTGGACGCTTGTTTCAGGACTCTTGCTTGGAATGTCCTGCCTCAGGTGTCGCAGGCAGAGCGCAAGAAGCTCGAGCACGAGGCTCCGGAGGGTGTAGCTGCCGCGCGGATGTTTTCCTGAGGATAATCCCCGAGGATCTCCGACCCTGGTTGGACAGCTGGAGCAAGTTTGAGAACCGGAGGGCTTCTTCCCCACAGGGGAAGCTCCAAGCCCTAACAAACCCATCATAGAGACCATCTGCCCCAGGAACATGGTGACGAGAAGGCCGAGCTCTTCCGTGAGTTCCGCGCCACACCCGTAGCAGGGCTGCATTACCGGATGCCGGCAGCCATACCCAGTTGTTGCCAAAAAAATGCAGAAATTGCATGGTTTAGCGGCACAACCCTATTCTGGCAGCTTGATTTAGGCGCCTTAAGAGCAACCCATCAGGTCCCCTCCCACCCAATCATCCAGCTGGGATAGCAAAGCAATCCTCGAAAGAAGACTGGACACCAAGAAACCAAGCCAAGTGTGGTGGTACGAAGGGTTTTTGGGGTTTCAAGCAGTTCAGGGATTGAACAAAAGGGTTCAAGGGGGGGTTAAAAGGCTTCAAGGGTTTAAATGCTTGGAAGATGAAGGTGATCCTTTTCGGAGGCGAAAGAGCTGCGCAGGTCATTGCCTTGCTTCTGCTGCTCTTCTTCGTGTGCTACAGCAAGCCAATTGTGTTGCTGTGGCTGGCCACATTGGCGACTTGGCCTGAAGTATACATATCTATCATGATTTTCAGCTAGTCTAGTTCTATAGACATGTGTATATGATTATTCATACATAAACAGTCATTCAAAAGATTACCCTCAGACCCAATCTTTCTGGTTCTAGCAGAAAGGAGTTCGGTAGCCCTTTTTAGCCTCTAAAGGATCCCTGCATTCCCAACACCTTCTTTTTGTACCACCTTTTGCCCTGTAACTCTGCGAGCCGCGGGCTTATTCGAGGGTGCGTAGACCGCTTTGTGAGAGGGCGTTAATTTCATAAGGGGCCATAGAAGGGGGTGCTCAAACAAGTTCCGGTGAAGGGTTTGAGGCGCGGTTGGCCCGCCTTCAGTCAACATCTCTAGACCTCTGTAACTGCAAGGGATCAGGTGCCTACAATGGGTCATAATGGGTTTATTTGGGCTTTACAGTGGGTTTCTTGACAGTGACCTTCATTCTTCCCTATTCCCCACCTCCGCACCCCACGCACACAACGAAGCGAAAAGCTGGCAGTCACGCTAACCCCAGCCCTAGCCCCAAGTCTAGATTGTTCTTGAACATGTCTTGTGTGTGATTTTTGGGCTTCTTTGTTCTAACAATGTCAGGGCAAATTCGAATTTTGAGTTTGGCCATTCTAAGGGATAGCAAAAGCAAACAGTAAACCTTAAGACTTAAGAAGCCCAACAAGGCGGCCTTTGTGGTGGTCATCCCAAATGTCACCGTCAACCTCCACTTGATGTTTGCCACTTGGGCAGCCGAGGGCTCTGTTCGGTTAGTTTTTTTTTTGATATTTTGTTTTGTTCATTTTGCTTATTTATTTGTTGTTTTTCTTATTTTCTCGTTTTGTATATTTTTCGAAATTGCGGGGCTCTCGTGGCTGCAAGCTTGGGAACCGGATTTGGTTTCAAGGGCTGGTGAATACTAGCGACTCATGGTTGGTTTAAGGTTCAAAGGTCGGACAGTCGAAGTGTTGAAAATTGATTTTTTCGGGACCGTGGGCTTGGGCCAGGCTAACCCCAGGCCCCCCTTAAACCCTAAACCCTAAACCCTAAACCCTAAACCCTAAACCCTAAACCCTAAACCCTAAACCCCAAACCCTAAACCTTAAACCCTAAACCCTAAACCCCAAACCCTAGACCCTAGACCCTAGTCTTCTCGGCTGTTTCCCGTTGCCTTGAGAGGCCTCCCAGGAAGATCTTTGAGATCATTTCTGGCAGGGACGCCTTCGACTCCTGCGAGCCCTGGTGAGATTGGGTGTCGTGTTAAACTGGTTAGGGTTTAGGGTTGAGGGTTCAGGATTTAGGGTTGAGGGTTTAGGGTCTTGGGGGTCTACGATAATAAGGGACCCCTAAACTAGACCCCCCCAGAATAGCAGGATTAGGATTCCCGTATAGTAAGGACCTTAACAAGGTACCCCCCCCCCCTCCCCCCCCAGGATCGTAAACCCCCAACTGGGTTGATGGAATGCACGCCGGGACTCACGTACAGAACACCCTACGTGTCACATTCGTGCACACAGGGAGACTTTGAGGAGCCAGCCGTAAATCCTCGACCCAGCGTCTTGTCTCGGACCCATGAGTTCCGAGGTACGTCATAGGCAAACGCTTTTCCCCCCAATTTTGAAACTTGTCATCCTTATACCTCCATTCGCCCGCAGTCCCGGGTGCGATTGTGTAAGTCATCTGTCTCCAACTTCTTCTAAGCAGGCAGGCACCGCAAGCCTCTGGTAGCTGAGTGGCTGACAGCCGAGTTTCCGGGCATTCGTGCTGGGTGTTGCGCGCTGGGTACTTACGCACGTGTGCAGGATTTGGCAGAGGTTCCGCAACACCTTGTGTGGTTGTGTGTCTATCTTGGGTGTCTAGTGCCAATTCTGTTTAGTGCTTTGGCTCAAGCAAGACTTGCCCATAGCAAAGAAGGTATTAAGTAAGACACATGAAGACTCATGAGTTTTTACTGGAAGTTTAGCGGCTCGTTTCATTCGCCAGCCTTATTCTCGTAATCGGATGCGAAAGAATAGGAAGACACAGCTGGTGCCCAGAATAGTAAATAGATTGGACAAGCAGGAATTTCAGGACTATAGGGGTTCTTGTTCACTCGCTTTCCTCTTCTCGCATCATTTCATACGCCAAGTTCTGCCACGGGCCATGAAGAAGCCAAGTTCATCCAGTGCCGTCTTGAAGGGGGGCTCGGGAAAGATCATGAAGGCCATGAAGGCCATGAAGGCCATGAAGGTTGACAGTTCTCGCACAGCGAAGGGCAAAGCCAAGGCGAAAGCCAAGGCCAAGGCGAAAGCCAAGGCCAAGGCCAAGGCCAAGGTCAAGGCCAAGGCCAAGGCCAAGGCCAAGGCCACGGCGGACAAAGATCCCCGAGAAGAGGCCATTTGGATGTGCCAGCAGCTTTCGGATGGAAAGCTGAATCCTGAAAGTCTTAAGGGAGGCTATGTGCTTCTCAGGAATGAGGCCAAGAAGTGGGTGAACTCGCCCCAAAATAAGAAGCTGGTGGATCGTTTGAAGCAACCGGCGGAGAATTGGTATCATTTCATGTTCGCATATGTGTGCGGCTTCATGATGGATGGCACCCTTGAAATTGAGAGGCAGTACAAGGTCCTTTTCTCAGATGAGAAAGACAAGCACTTCTTCTCTTGTGGCTTGGAGAGGGGCCATTTCATTCGAGATGCGGCCAATCTGTTCTTCGAGTTCCTGCAAGCTTACAAAGTGAGTGATTTCGAGGCTGCCATCAAGGGTGAATCTTCTGACATGAAGTTGCTGGAGAACTTGTTGGTTGAATATGCACACCTGCCACAAGACACTTTAGCATGATGAGGCAGGAAACAAAAGAGCCGTTGCGGAAATGTTCAACGAAGGAATGCCAGCTGTCGTTTCTGAGTGTGTCTCAGACACGTGTAACAATGATGGCTCCATCAAGAAGGAATCATCCCGGTATACCACAATGAAAACCCTATTAGATTTCTAGTTTGTTCCAATACATGTTTTGAAAAGGGCGCTCCCCCCAGAAGCCTGAACGCCGTACCATTTATCCTGCGCGCGCCTTCACCACAGCTGCCATCACAGCCTGCGATTGTTAGGATGCCTTCGTCGCTGAATGCTGTCTATGCTCTTGGAACCCTAAACTCCAAACCCTAAACCCTAAACCCTAAACCCTAAACCCTAAACCCCAAACCCTAAACCCTTAACCCTCAACCCTAAGCCCTAAACCCTAAACCCCATGCGCACATCGCTGGCCTGCTCAGGACTGCGGTGTTGAGCCAAGCTCGTGGCGCACTGCAGCCGATGAGGGGCATGGGCCTGCACATAGGCTACAGCACTGCTTGCTGTTGGTTAGTAGGGAATGGGGGAATAAGGTGCCATGTATCCCTAAATGCCGTTTAAAGGAGTATGTATGGTACCTTATTCCCCCATTCCCTTCTATCCAACAGTAAGACTGAGTCCACTCTGCGGGATCATGCAAGCAACTACATCTCATCTCAGCGTCCCGAAGTCTGGAAAGTGGTCTTGCAGACTGTAGCAGCATTCTTTCTAAAGCGGCCGACAGGTCAGCCTGTGGTTGTTTCTGAACCTTCAAGTTCCATCTCTTGCAGATTTACTGGAGTACTTGAGCTAGGGGAGCATGGGAAGAAACAGTGCCACTCACTCACTGTCTGGCCAAGCATCCATTGTTCAAGTTTGCGTCTCACCTGCCAAACACCTGGACAGGGGCTTCCAACGTATGCCTCAGGTTTCACCGCACGCGCTGAGCCTTGCAGGGTGTTGGCGGTGTCTCGCACTACTCCTTTTGGGGCTGTCCTAAATTGGGTCCCCAACTCACGTGGAAATCCGGTTACCAAAGGCATCTTTCCAGGGGGGACAGCCCCGGCAGCTGGCCATGTACTCGTGGGATTGCCATGTACGGCCGCGCGCCGGGACCGAGACGCGATGAGCGAAAGAAAGCTGTTCGCGAGTATGGACCAAGGCATCTCATGACCCCCAAAAGCCTAAACCCCAATAGCCCAAGCCTTCAATCCATATCCCCCAAAACCCCTAAGATCCTAAACCCCTAAAACCCTAAAGCCCTAAACCCTAAAATCTTTCCAAGGCTCCTTCGCGACCTGCAGCGCCGAGCACCAGAGTTGCCTGAGGCGGCTCCCCTCGCCATCAACCTGATCTGGGGTTTAGGGGGTTCAGGGGTTTTGGCTGTAGGGGTTTAGGGCCTTACGGCTTTTAGGGAGATAGGGGTTTAGGGATTTGGGGTCTGGTAGTTTGTAGCTCAGGATGTTTATGGGTTGTGGTTGTAGGGATGTAGGGTTTAGGGGTTTTCGTCGGTTTTAGGGTCTGAGCCCCGAAAGCGCCCTTAGGCTCCAAAGGTGTCCAGATGCCTTTTGTTCGCATAGAGGGAGATTCATCAGAGTTTTCAACCTCAAGCTCCCTACACTCCCGTAGGCTTTCGGAGTTCGCAGGCACAGCCGATCTTCACAGTCGCCAGCACCGGGCAGGCTCGGTGTCCAGAGAGCAGGGTTGAGGGTGAAGGGGCGTCAGGGTTCAAGGGGTAGGCCCCATAAGCCTCTAAGCCTCAAACCCGAGACCCTATAGATCCCTCCCACCCGTTGTAAACCAAGCAGGCAGGCGCATGGCAAAGTCCGGCACTGCCGCCGAAACCTCCGGCGGAGACGGAGCAGGCGCGTGACACCAGGCACTGAAGAGTGCCTTCGTGGGAAGTCACCCAGACCCCTTGACAGACTCAATTCTCCAAATTCTGCTGCCATGTCTGAAAAACACCAACGTATCTTCACGGACCGAAGAAGGAACCATACGTTGTAGAGCTGACCCCACATGTCTGTTGCTGGCTTGGCGAAGGACTTGAAGGCTTCCTCGGTTCCCCGGCTGCCAGCAATCGCAGCAAATGAGGCCAGGTGTCAGATGCGTCTCTCGCACTCCATGTGGGTGTTGTTCTACATTCGGGCCCCTTTCTTCAAAAGGAATCTCGAGTACATGGTGCCGATTGGTCGGGCCGACCACCGCGATATGCCGCAGTGGAGGCTGAGCTGGCCCGTGAGAGGAAAGAGAGCATACTTCGCAATCATCCTGATGTGGCAGTCGCCTTATCGAGGCGATGCTCGCAACCCATGAACCCTGAACCCGGAGTGGCAGCCCTAAACCCTAAACCCTAAACCCTAAACCCTAAACCTGGCAGGTAGACTCCTCGGCCGGCGGGGCGGTGCCTACTGCAGTGCCACCTTCGTGCCAAGCTTAGGCGAGGGTCGCCATGGCAATGTCACCACACCCGTGGACAGCTGAGGCTCTTGGCCACCTATGCGGCCCAGGTCGGTACACCGATCGGATTTAGGACTTGACTGTAGATGATGCTGCCATATAGTTCTGCAGCATAGTATGTTATGTTATATGGTGCTGCTATTATTCATTGGATCACCTCAGAATGGAACGCTGCAAACCTTGGAGACTGTTCAGAATCTGCTTGCTTCTTGCAGGTCCGGCGCGAAGCGCCACGCCCACCGAGTCCACCCGGTCCTCCAGGTCCTCCGGGCCCTCCAGGTCAGCTCAGCAAGTTTGGGGTCTGGGGGAAACCCTAAAACCTAAACCCTAAACCCCACACCCCAAACCCTAAGCCCAGTCAATTCTTTGCTCTTTCTCTTTTGCCTCTGAGGACCAGCGATGGCGAAGCACCCCGAGGAGGCTACCCATACTTTGTGTGTGTAAATTTAGGGTGTAGAGGTCAGGGACGAAAAAAGTGCATGGAGTAGCGGTTAAGTCAGTTGCAGTAGGGTTGAGGGCCGGCGTGGCATGGAGGCGTAGGAAGGGCCTAACTTCTGCCCATGCCGTGCTACCGTGCCACCGTCAGGCCGAATCGCCGAGCGGCGCGCTCAAAGCAACTCTTCCACCGACAAGGGACATGCTGCCCACCGAGGCCATGCAGGGTAACAGGGCTGCATTCTCCACAAAGTTTGGGGAAGCCTGTTGAAATCTCTTCCGGCTCTGTTTCGCAGGCACTCTCGTCAGCAGAGGCTGGTGACAAGACCCGGTGGGAAGAAGTACCGGCCCACTACCCGGGCGCGTCTGGGTGTCCCCACGAATATGACGCGTCAGCTTGTCTTGAGGCCGAACGTGTCTCCATGACCTCTCAAGCGGCGGACGACCTTGCTACGGAGACGGGGGCTTGCCAAGCCGAGAACGCATTCAGGTTCACAGGTCTTGTTTCTAAATTTCAGTTAAAGCCGAATTGGTCCATCATCTGCAGGAGGTTCTATCTGCCGCTACCAGGGCAGCTTCGCAAATCCTGCACAGCTCAGCCTCCTTTGTCGAGAAGGCTTGATATTGATGCGCAGGGCGCTTGAGGGCCTTGGGTTTCCACCTCCTTAGTGTTCAACATTCTCCTCCTCCAAAATATCATCGGGACCTCTATTCCTACCATAGGGACCTCTATTCACAAAACTTACGCTATGCTATCCTGCATCACTCTCCAGACATCCTCGGGTCACTTCATGTCAAGCCATCGCAACCCGTGCGCTTTGAAGTTGTGTGTGCGAGCACATGTGCACAGGCGGAGGAGCCCCATGTGACCGAATTTGCCGGCATCAAGGCCTTGCGCTGGTCAACTCTACTGAAGAGTTGAGCAATCCCTAAACCCTCAACCCCCAACCCTAAACCCCAAACCCTAAGCCCTAAACCCTAAACCCCAAACCAAGAGCCCAATCATGCAGTTCAGGGGTTCAAGGTTTTAAGGCTTGGGGTGGCTTTAGGGTCCCCTTGTCAGCAAGGGCTGCTCTACACTGCTTGTAGGGTTCAGGAGGTTCCATGGGTCCAATGCTTTAGGGCTTAGCAGGGTCTAAGGGAGGTTGTTCGGGGGGGTGGGCAAGCTCTGAGACCTTTAGCAAAAGAAGAGACGGCCATGAGCTTAGGGGCTCTGGCACCGCCAAGCTAGAGGAAATGGGTCACTTCTCTGTATCAGAGCCTCTAATTGAACCTTTTGGGTGCCATAGAATACGAGTCTCCATGATGTAGCAGGGGACCAGATTTTCGAAAACTGCCCCGTTGCGGAGTCTGGGGGGTTTTGAGCTGAGGCTCTCAGTTCCTCTTCCCTTTCATCCCTTCAATGCCTTTGCCCTTTTGACCTGGCGCCCCCCGAACCTAGATCCCGGAGTTCAACAATCCTGAAAAACCCCTAGGGTTTAGGGTTTAGGGTTATTGTTGGACTTAGGGCTCAGGGTTTAGGGTTTAGGGGTAGGGGTTATAGGGGTGCAGGGTTCAGGGTTTCTGCCAGGAGGCGTCAGAGCTGGCCACCGCCATCTCCGTCGGCAGCGACGAGGACCACAGAGCCAACGTGCTCTTTGGCTCGGGTTGCGCGCCCTCTTTAGGGTTTGGGGTTTAGGGTTTAGGGCTTAGGGTTTAGGGTTTAGGGTTTAGGCCAGCCGAACAAGGCACCCTAAGGCCTAGAACCACACAATGGACCCGAGGGGCGTTCCTGAAGACATCTCCGGTCAAGGAGCGGCGGCACGTCGGCGTGAGCGACGCGGCCGTCCACCGAATGGTGGCCTGCCTGCAAGGGTTTAGGGTTTGGGGTTTGGGGTTTAGGGTTTGGAATGCCCAGGGTGCGATTGTGGGACCCTACCTGAGGGTATGAAAGGGGGAGGGGGGTGGGGTGACCCGAAAATTGAAACTCCTGCATCCTGCGATGGCCTTTTCCTTCCCCGAAAGATCTGGAGAACAATCCAGCCACTTCCCCTGAACCGACGGGTTTAGGGTCTTTAGGGCTTAGTTTCTCGGGTAGCTTCACCCTAAGCCCTGGTGCTGAAGCCCGTGTGTGGTTT